TGTGGTGGACTGGATCATGCAACAAACCGTGAGGAAGCGAGAAGAGGGGGATACGCTGGACTGGGGAAAAGATCCTAGAAGATTTGGATTTCGGCGATGACTTGTATCTAGTGTCGCAGAAAATCGAAGATCTACAGGCGAAAACTAACAAGTTGACAGAAGAGGTGAGGCAGCGAAGACGGGACTTCAAGTGAATATAGAGAAGACAGAGGTGATGAAGATACCCAACCAACAACATCAACAAGCGCCAATCAATATCAACAGGAGAAACTTAAAGGAAGTATCCTCTTTCACCTACACCTACTTAGGCAGCATCGTTTCAACTACAGGTGGTGGTACAGACGAGGACATCAAAGCCAGGATCGGAAATACAGCAAGACAGACGCTCATTAACCTGAAACCAGTGTGGAGATCTTCTGCAGTCAGCATGTAGAACAAGATCCGGATTTTTAACTCTAATGTCAAGTCAAGCCTCCGTATGGCTCAGAAACTTGGTGTGTCACGAAAAGGATTTCCAACAAACTACAGACATTCATCAACAACTGCCGCTTACGCTGGCTCGATACTGAAGATCAGATAGATGGCCAGAGAGAATAAGCAACAAGGAACTCTGGCTGGCAACGAACCAACCAAGAAGCTATCGCTGAACAAATATGCAGGAGAAAGTGAAGATGGACTGGGCATGCACTGAGAAGACCATTCGGGGACGTCACACGCCAGGCCAGGCCGTCGAGTGGAACCGAGATGTGAAAGGGCGAGTTGGGCGTCTGAGGCGAGGCTGACATGGAGGAGATCGTATGAGGAAGAAACGAGAGCTTGTGGGCAGTCGTGGAGCCAGGTTGAAAAGGTTGCAGAGAAGAGAGTGGAATGGAGACGTGCTACTGAATCCCTATGTTCCATTAGGAACCCAAGGGACAAATAATAATAATAATAATAATAAATCATCTTCATTGCAGCCATTATTACAAACGATGAACGTATCATCTATATGCCGGGAATAATCGTCTAGGTTATCAAATGTGTCTTTAAGTGCACCGTTTTCAAGTTTGGTCAAAAAGATGCCCGCTAGCATTGAACTCAGAGGGAGCCCATTACAACCCTATCTACTTGTCAATATTATTCGTTGTTTAACATAAAGTGGACATTTATAGTGCATTTTAGTAGCAATTCCTTGACTCTTTCAGGTGGGATTCCTACGTCTATCTATTGTTCTCTTAATTCATCGCAAATGTAGTTAACTGTTTCTATCAGCGGAACATTGATAAAAAATGATGAAATCATCCTCTTTTCTCTAACATTCATATTTTTGACTTGTTGTACGAAGCTGAATACATTTTTTACATTAAATGTCACCAGTTCGCGATGTAGGGGCTCTAGCGATCGTACTAATCATTTTGCTGTTGAGTGATACGGAGAATTCACTATATCTAGAACTGGACGCAGTGGAATTCCTGGCTTGTGAACTTTTGGTAAACCATACAACCTAAGTATATGTGTGCCTGATAGTTTTAACGTATCAAACATGGACTTAGAGATCAAATTCTGTTCCATCATTGTCCTCAGAGTCTTAGTTAGTTGACGTTCTGTTGGTTCTGAAGTATCTTTACAGTCTCTTCACTTCTGAAACTTTATTTCATCACTGAGAAGAAGGTTCATCTTTTGTGTATAGTCACATTTATTCATGATAACAGTACCAGATCCCTTATCAGGTTTGGTTGTTATCAAATTATCATTTTTTCTGAGCCTCTGTATAGCCTCTCGGTGATTCTTAGTGAGTTGGCTTTTGGAAGGATGTATGTTATTCTTAAATTGATAGCAGTAATCAATCAGAGTAGCTTTAAACTTCTCGAACTAGCACTTAGAAGATGGGATTAAGTCTTGTGTCTGGATAAGCAGGTTTTCAAATTGGACATCGATTTCTATATTTATTTACCTGACTACGTCTGTCACAAATTCTTGGAACAAAAGATAAAACCTTTGGTTGTATCTTGTTTAAACAAACAGAAGAAAAGTTATTTAGGTAGCTCTGTTAGCACTGCAGCTTTATGATTTAAGCACTCGACGGATAAGAATCTTACTTCTGCTACCGGGCTTTGGCCAGTCAGGTGATATCATTAGTCGCTTGATAAAAGGTGTGGTTCATCACCTGGTGTACAAAAAGACACGTCGTATCTGAGCTATATTGCTGTTATATTATTCTTCGAACAATCATATTCGTTACAAGTCATGTGTTAACGGGTACATGTCGTGACGAACAATAGTATTCCCAACCTACAGCTGGTACCCTGACGTGGTAGTAGGGGTTGTATATCACTATGACCCAACCAACTATGCTGGTGGAACGCTTGTCCTCTCGAGGTTCTGCCATACTAGAAAAGGTCTATGGATAATGATTAGACAAAAAGCAGTTACTATTCTTGTGCAAATTACCACGGTATAATGGAGGGTCTGAAGGCAAAGTCGTACAGCTGACTCGATGGGAATGTTACAACAGTCAGGTGTTTCCACTTGATGATGAGCAGTGCCACGCTGATGCTGCCTTTCCTATGGGAAAGGGGAGGAAATGTCGATTTCAAAAATAGCACTCTCTCACCCCTCTCGGGGTGCCGACACCTGAAACGGAGGTTCATAGTCGGGTTATAAAACGAAAATCAAAATCTCAAACTTGGCAAATCTCGCTTGGGCTCTGCGGTCACACACTATCCTTTCATTTTTAGTTACCTCACGAAGAACTAGTCTTCCATGGTATGGGCAACCGGGAAGTGTCAACCGCCCTCATGCTTCCAGTGGTACACAAGACTCAATCAAACGTAACTTATTCCTTTTAACTCAGTCTCCTTCTTTGCCTTCACCATCTGATGCTGATATTAAGCCTCTGGCACCTTCCCCAATCTCTTATTCTGCGACCATTGCCAACGACCCCAGTCATTGAAACCTCATTCCTAGCTTCTTTAGACCCCACTATCGACTCCATGTTGGAGATTTCAACTTCCGAACTCTACACTAAATCCAACAGCAAGCATAGCTCGCCAAAACTGGCCATTAATGTGTGCTGTGTCTCTGAGACACGTATACAGGATCGGAGTGTGGTTATTAAATAGACCTCATCTGACCATCGTAGTGGATTTTCAAAATTCACCTTAAGAGTATCCCAAGACGCAATGGCACTCGCTGGTGTAGGCATAGCATTAAGCTATAGAGCAAAACGTGTACTTCTTGATTGAATACCAGTCAGTAGACGTCTGTACGTTGTTCGACTGAATGGTTCTGTAAGAACTAGAAAGGATCGTAAAACAAGGGGATGTCTATTCGTAATCCCCGCCTACGCACCCACCGACTGTAGTTCGGATGATGCAAAGAATGAATTCCATGAGAAGCTGTCAGTTTTGCTACAGAAAGCAAAACTTTCAGATGTAGTCATCATGACAGATGACTTTGGTACTCAAGTAGAGAAGTTGAGCCAGTCAGAGAGGGACCTGGAAAGTCTTCACGGAATGCAATGCCAGCAAACCGACAACGGTAACCGTCAGTTGCAATTTTGTCCCGACATTCAGTTGTTTCTGATCAGCAATAAGTTTAAGCACCAGTAGGAACAGTGTCTCATATGGCGTCCACCGACATCAAATCAACGATAAACACAGGAAGATAGATCACATTACTGTAAGCCATTGTTGGAGATGGCTACTCTCTCCGGAGTACCAGTTTTGATTCCGATCACGCGCTAGTCTGGGCTAGTGTATTTCTGCGCCTTCTTGGTCGCAGGAAACACTTGATATTAAAGCCTGTCTGTGGTTGATTGGAGGACTAGGAATCGAAATGCGTATTTAGAGAGGCGTTAAGTAAGCAGTTATCTGAACATGACAGCATTGCTTATCTTGAGGAAACCCGGCGCGATATTCAGTGTGCTACAGAAACAGCGATAAAGGCAGTTGATAAGCTACACTCGAAGGTTGGCAGACGTCATTGAATTTCCGCAATATCATCCGAACTGATTGATCTGAGAAGACTGACTCCAACTGGCTCTGACCACAATGTAGAGCGTAAGCAACTTAAACGTAAATTAAATAAGAGTTTTCGGGTCGATCGCGAGCAGTGGTAGGTGGCGAAAGCAAGAGAGATGGAGAAGACTTCATCGTGGGGGTATCACCCGGGAACTAAATGGACTTATTAAGCATACCAGCAAGAAGAATGCGGTGGTTGGTGAACCCATCAACGAAGATGAGACGCTTATAACCTCCCAAGACAGGCGACTACAACGTTGGGCAGAACACTTTGAAATATAGTTCAAATGGCCCACAGCAGAGCTGGAGTTCGCCAGCATCCAATGTGAACCTGAATAGGGTATAGATTTTGGTCTTCCAGCACTCGTTGAAATGGCAAAAGCTGTTTTGAATCTGAAACGATACTAATCGCAAGCGTATCCAGTTAAATTTTCAAAGTATTTATAGTCCCAGTTTAACAACGGTGTACACACAATTGGATAGGGAATTAAATCCAAGACGGTTATGCTTCGTGGCCAGCATGATACTATTCTGATGAACAGTTTTGTTTTTTCGATTCGGAGGTTTGTCTCATCTTGGTATGGGACTCCCCAGCTGCACACACCTGTGACTCCACCGGGGTCGAATCCAGGACCTTCAGTCCTCGTACTTCTGATGAGTCCCATAGTTGGACGAGACAGGTGTCCAATGCTCCCGGGTTTCCATTGTTTGTCCAACAGATGTCAGTCCATGATAAAATGCAACCTGAAATCTATTTCGTTTTGTTCGTTTTTATGACTAGTTCGTACTACTATCGGTGAAGATTTTCGGCAATATATTTGCAACACTGGAAGACGTTGTCACTATTCGCCTTGCCCAAACATGAACAGGAAAATCTCAATATTATCATCGTTTTCTAATCGGTCGGGTTTATGTTGCGTTGTTTAAATAAGTATATATCATTGTGTGTAATTTCCCGTTTAACTTTAACAGACTTCCATATATGTTTATATTTTGTAGATGAAACATGTCTTAGCTGGATCAGTACGTAAATGTCTTTCTGTAATGGCTGGGATTCCAGCATCACATTCTAGACGAGAATCTTCGTCCACCTCCACCTTTTCTTCTGTGTCCACACGTCGACGTAATTTTATGCTTCATAATTCATCACAAATCGTCAACAGAAATAGAGAAAATCAGGCTCTTTTATTATTACACAAAGAACATTTATTTTGGATGACATTCGATCAGATAATGCATAATCCGAAGGTTGTATCATCTTTGAAACAAATAACTAAAATATCAATGCTTCGAAATGTAAGTGAGAAACACTGCCATACTAATAATTATTTTTATTTTTATTATTTATCCTTTGGGTTCCTAGTGGAACATAGGGCTTCAGTAGCACGTCACCATTTCACTCTACTCTACTGTCTTTTCAACCTGCCTCCACGACTGCCCATAAGCTCTGGTTTCTTCCTCACACGATCTCATCCATATCACCCTCGCCTCGGACGCCCAGCTCGTCGTTTCCCACTTGGTTTCTACTGGAGGGTGTGACCTGTCCCAGCGCGTGATGTTCCCAAATGGTCTTCTCAGTGTATGTCTAGTTCAATCCATCTCCATTTTCTTCTGTATATTTGTTAGGTGATAGGTTGTTGGCTTGTTCCTTGATTGGTTGATTGGTTGTTTGGTTGGCTGGCTGGTTGGCCGGAGTGAGTTGCTCGTTGCTTCTTGTAATTATTCTGACCATCTATCTGATGTTCAGTGTGTGTATGGAGTGAGCGTAGACGGCAGGTGTTGATGAAGTGTGTGTGTGTGCAGTTGTTTGTTGGAAATGGTTTTTGTAATGCGCTGCGAAGTGAGTGAACCATGAGATAGAAGCACTGACTTGAGTGAGATTAGTGTTGAAAAAGTGGATGTTGTTCACGCTTTATGTTTAGTGGAGTGGAGTGGAGTGGAGTGGAGTGGAGTGGAGTGGAGTGTATCTGTAGACTGATTTCAGATTACTGAATGAGGGGATGTGTTGCTGTCTTTGTGATCGTGGCTTTGACGTCCTTATCTGTTCCTCTGCCGCCACGTGTGTTTGAGAGGATGGTGTCTATGAGAGGGGGAGAGGGAGGGGGAGGGGTAGGGCGTTGGTAGGTGGAGACACCTTGGTTTAGATTTCTCCCGTTGATGATGATTAGTACTTGTTGTTGTTGTTTCGGTATCTGCATCATCTCTATCATCTCTACATTTGCACAAAGGATGTCCCGTCTGATAGTCTATTTGTGCTATTGAGGGGTGACATTAAAGGCCACCCTAGCAACTGCTGAAGTGACCAATCAGGCCTCGATATTTCGCTTGGGAAAGTACTTTTCTATAAAATAAAGGAATGTAATTGGCTATCTCGTCAGTTGCTATGGTGGCCTTTAAAGTCATCCGCAATCGAGAATATTCTCACCCTTTTATTAACTCGTGTAGCAACCTGTCAATGACTAATCGGCCGTTTTTTAAAAGAAAATACAAGTTATACTGTTTTCATTTTCATTGATGCTGTGTATACTATTCAATTTTGATTTTATTTTCAAAGGCCGCGCCTTTTATCGCTCGTCAAATGGTTTCACGCTTAAGTCATAAATCTACTGCTCAAACTATTCCTAAACGTCGAAAAGAAAATAGAACTAGCTGTTTTAGTTTGCCAAGTAGAGGAAGTGGGCGATGTAAAAGATATCTACGGAAAAAAATATTTGAAAAATATACCATTTCACACAGTCAAAATGTAAACAATTCATTGCCAAAAAATGATGTAAACATTCCATCGAATTCTGTTTCCCCTTCGACATCTGTCAATGTTACTACTCCATCCATCATAACTGTAAACGTTAACGATGCTACTGCAATGAAAACTGGTATAGCTGCTGCTACTACTGCGGTGACTACTACTACTACTACTACTACTAATACTGTCACTGTTAACACCACAGATGTCATCAATTCAGGTAATAATTCTGGATCGTTAACGGGAATGACAGAGTCAAGGCGTCGATTGTTATTAGAAATTCAGAGTATTTTAAAAAGATATGAAAGAAAACCATACAATAGTATGAGCACATATGCTCTATCTACAAATATTTGGTCTCGAGGTTCAAGGACATCACAGGTGAGTAACATTATTTATTTTGTCTTCTTCTTCTTCCTATTCTTCTCCTTCCTCTTCTTTCCATTCTTTTTCCTCTTCAAAAATTCAATATTTGATTTGGAAAATCAGGTTTGTTTTTACTACTGTGTTGCATGTACTACTAAGTGATCAAAGTGGAAATGCATCCACATGCAAGTTCGTTCACTGATCAGTAGGTCAAACTTTTATGTATGAATTAGCTATCTATACCTTAGTAAGTGCAGTTCGACTCGAACTTTCGACCGACTATTTTTCTTATCAAGTGCCTAGACTATTAATTCAAGTCTCCCTAATAATTATCATTTTGATTAAGATAACTGTGGTTTGACTGAGTAGTATTGATATCGCTATGACCCACTGAAAGAAAATATCTCGTAGCCTAGTTGGTAGAGCACTGAACCAGAAGCCCGGTAATCTCTGGTTCGAATCCCACGGTGACCCAAATTTTCAATTTACCTTCAATCACCAACCAGTCTCCTTAATAACTGATGGATTAGCATTCATTAATCCCTACATTGCCTTATATTGTCGTATACTCATTGAAGTAAGAAGAAATGAATTAGCTTATTTATTTATCCATTAGAATATTTGAGTTATTTATCATTAATATCAAGAACATGTGTTCGAAACCTTAGTTATATGTTACAACAAGACCATCAGGCCTCCCATATAACGTATGTTAAAGTTTCACTGTACAAACTTGTTTGTGTAGTAGATATAGTTTTCAAACTCTGATATATTGCATATTAACAATTTGTGTTACTATTCATGTATACTGCAGTATATGATGTGAATTTTAATCATATATGAACGATACATTCTGTAGTTGATGTCACCTGAAGCGACTATACCTCTTGATAATAATGATAGATAGTGATGGATAGCAGTGGAATCTAGGATGTGCTTTTCGTCCTGCTTGGGACTCGTCAGCTGGATGTACCTGGCTCCCAATGAGCAATGTTGTTCTCACCAGAAATCGGACTTTGGACCAATCACTTGAAGGGATTCAGTGTGAGGCCATTTAAGGAAGGCCAATAGCCAATTTCAGCTAAGAAGTTATCCAACTGAGAACATTTTGAAGGGGAGATAGTCGCCATGGACACTGTCAGGTCACCTATGTACTTAACAAAGTTGCCTTTACTGATTTGGGTAGGTTATGCAGAGAGAAAGAGAAAAGAAAAGGAGAAAGAACAGCACCTTGAGGCACACCAAGTTTACTAAGCAGCGAATTAGAATGCTTCCTTCGGTATAGAGTACACTGTCTTCTCTCAGAAAAATAAGAATCAAGCCAGTTCGTAGTCTAGGACTCAATGTGACTTCCGAAAAACTTCTTTAATAAAAGTAGTCTGGGAACAGAATCAAAGGCAGAAGTATAATCTAAAAAGGCAGATCTTACACTCTTAGCACCTTTGTCCAGACTGGCAGTCGAATGTTCCTACAAATCCAACTGTTCTTCACTTATTTTTCTGCATGTTATAGTTCATTCGATTAGAAATGCAGTCGGTTGATACCATACTATAACTTATTATTACCAATGTTTTGATTTTGTCCCGTTCTGTTTATTACCTTTTACAGACAAATGTTAGCAAGCAAGAACGATTTATACCGCCTATTTTACGTGGCTTACCACCTGAAATAGGCTTTCAAGTATTCTGTGAACCTGAATTATTGAGTACACGGTGTCTAGAAATTGCACGATCATGTTTATCAAATGGACTAGGCATAAGTCCTGATGAAATGAAAGTATCAAAGAGATCATCAAATTCTACTAATGTGACTATGAATCAATCAGTTTCATTAGATGCGAATGAATCTCAGAGATCACAACCAAGTAAAGTGTATATTTTCCCACCGAATTATTCTACCTTATTGGGCTTTAAAAGTCTTTTAATGCATTTACCTATATTGTTAGACAAAGAAAAAGGACGATTTTCACAATTCGTTGAACTCAGGTATGTATTACATTTGCTTAGTGTTGTCACCATGTTGCTAATCATTTTTAATTTTCTTTTTTAAGACATTCAACTACCTGAGAAAGCCTACATAGTTTCAACTTATTTAACAATAATGTAAATCAAGATATTCTTTTCTGAATACCATGATGAATATCAACTTTAAAGAATCACTAAATCCTCCACAAACCCCCAAATCCAATTGATCTAGCACTCGTTGGTGACCAACTTCGGGGGGTGATTATCGAAATCTCAGTGAGAAGTGACCGGTGGTCGTGAGGACAAATAGTCAACGATGACAGTGGATGATCGTCGCGCTATATCGTGAGCTGACAAAGGTTGGAAATATGGACTATTAGATTCAGACCCAGTGGCTCAATGGTAACGTACTGGCCATGGGACCTTAAGGTCCTGGGTTCGATCTGTGGCGAGCCGGAGTCATGGGTCTACACTGCTGAGGAGTCCCATACCAGGACGAAACAACTAGCTATGCAGTGCTCCCAGGTTTCCAATGTTTCTCCAACTAATGTCATACCATGATGAATAGCAATTTGAAAAGTCATTAAATCCCCACAAACCCCTAAATTCCATCGGATATTTTCAAGGTTATTTAAAGATTCTATTTAAAGTGTGAATGGATTTTACAATACAATTAGATTTTCTGTCTACCCATCTTGACCAATCAAGTTTATTATTTTGCTAAAGAGGCTTTTTAGTACTATCTTAACGAGGTGTATCCTCCGTATGATTGGTGTGGAGGTATTAGAGAAGTAGATATGTAAAACGGTGTAAATTTGACTGTGCCTCCTAGAACCAGTCTCCGACCTCTGGTTTATTTTGTCAATCAGACCTTGATTAGGAAGCCTACATTTTCCTAAACTACTCAAAGCCTCTGTTAAATACTGCAATGGCTGATGTTCTAGTTTGTCCATCTTTTACTATTTTCCAACCTGAATTCACTTCAGCTAACGTTATATGACGAGGCAGGAGGTAGCTAAGCATGCGTAATACATCATGTAGCCACTGGAGTCTATGAAGGTTCACAACCTCATCGATCGACTTTCCTCTTATTTTGAAAGCACCACATCTAGCTTAGGAATTACTGACGTCTTGATATCACGACACACGGCCCATGCTACGAACTCAACAATGGTCGAACACGTGAAGTCTTCCCGTGTCATTTACCTTCAGTGGTGCGAACTGCAGCGTGGTACACTCGGCTCTTAATAGGTAATCGGATATTGTGGTGGCACTACAGATGGTATTGGTTGACGAAACTCAATCTTTTGTATCCGTGCAGAGATTTCGTCGACCACTGACTCAACAGGGCTGATCTGACATTCCAGACAAAAGAAGTGTTCAAATCACCCAACCGCTTCACTACTAGACAAGATATCAGCAACAGTCAGTCCCTGGAGAATTTGGTCGGGGAGAAACTCATCCTAGACTAGAAATTCTCAAGTCTTCACTCAAGGTGTCCGGAAGATTCTGAATCCTGTCTTCGGCTAATAGGACTGTATCGTCTGCTTACTCTGGACCCACTAAAGATTCTTCTGTGAGTAGATCAATCTGTGCTGTCATATGATGAGAGGAAGACGTCCATAAGTACATCTATGATGAATCCGAATAAGAATAGAGACAGTTTACTTCTTTGACGGAATCTGGTCGACGTACACAACTCAACTGATAACTCGTCATAGGCTATAACACGAACACGGCTGTTTGTGTACACAGCGTTCAACTGAGTGATGTAATCACTCGACATCCCTTTCAGTGACAGACACTGTCACAAGATCTCAAATGTCAACGGAGTCAAGTACTGCCTTCAGGTCGAGGAATGTAGCTGGTATCGGGCTTCTGTTGGTTTGCCTATGTTCAAATGCCTCGTGCAGAATTAACATCTGGTTGTTACATCCTTGACCAGATGTGAAACGTGCTTAGTTTTCTCAGGTTTTATGTTCATGAACTTTAGGGAAGCTGAACTGCTATTTATTTTATTGATATGTCGAGTATGCATGCATGAAACAACGAAGCAATCATTGTTTCAAGTAATGTATATCAGCAGACGTAGCCATAAGCAACACAATAGAATCTTACAGGATTGAGAAATGAAGAATGACAGGATGTTGAAAATGTCTAACTAAACATAAATGTGGATTCAGGGGATTTTGAAAGGAAACAAGGAAAAAAAGAAAACCCTTTGAGGTAAGAGGGTAAGAGGTATGGTAACTGAAGGCTACAATAATATACCTAAAGAGGTGGATTAGAATCACAAAACCTCCTCTTAACATGGACAGTCTTGTGTATAACCACAAGGAAATGTGTCCAAATTTATGTGTGGAGTAGGGGCAATAAAGAAGAATATACAAAGTATAGGCAGCTTCAAAAGTGAATGATAGTGTGAAAACAATTCAGATGATTATCATGACAGAAACAATCTTTTAAGGGGAATGGCGAGTATACTAAAAGCTACTTATAAGTATACATATAAGTAGTATTCATAACAACGACAAAAGTTAAGGATCTGCTGGTAAGTAATTGGATGAAATATAATACATAATATTGAGTGTAAATCTAAAAGTAAACGATAGTGTGGAATGGAGTGCGTAACAAGAGATTATTTGCAAGTAGATTACATATTGTACCTATACTACTATCAGTTTTATTTTCTCAATAAATAATATCTGCCACTATAATAATCTTGCCATTTAAACTATAAATCAAATATTCAATGAACTACATCGTTTACCTTTGTTATAGCTAGATAAATATTCATTTTCATATTCTTTTCATTATTTAGGCAGAATATAAGAAGAATATGATTAAGGATATTGATGTACACTTATATGCCTTGTTCTTATTTTTTTGAAAAGGAATTTTCAGCAGAATATAGATGTAAAACTTGGACACTGTTGTAGAATTTAATTCCATGTTATATTAGTTTATTTGATTTATAACACATAGTGATATAGTACTATTTACTTGGTGACGATGTTTCGAGCATAAATTATTACTACTCATAATCATATTGATGTAATCACATCACTTTCAACAACCGACTTTTATAGTCCTACCACTTCATATTCTTTGTTTTTATTGGTAGTAAAATTCTCCATATATCTCTGGTATGGAGGTGTTGTGTCATTATTCCTATTACATGTGTTGGCTGGGTTGTTGATTTGATGAACAAAGATTCAGTGATCAATCTCTTTCGTCATGTAATTCTATTGGACTTGAGTACAGTGGCTTTGTCCCAGTCTATAGCGTGGTTGTGTGTAGATGCATGCGTTGCAATAACCGAGTTTTTTTTTTCTAGATTATTGATTTAGCTAAATCCCTATGTTCTGATAATCTAAACTGAACCTGATCGACAAGTTTGACCTATGTACTTGACCTCACAGTCATTACATGGAATTTGATGGATTAGATTATTTTGCTTAATTGGTTGTATCGGAGCTTTAAGCGAGGTGACAAAGCTTATCTCTGAGTGAGTTTGTGGGTTTAAATGCCACCCAAATTCCAGCTTAGTCGAGTATCATACGTGAAGTTTTTGATTTGCCTTCCTGATAGGGTAACACAATGGGGGCTGTGAACTCGTTTCTACTTGTGTTGTCGTTATTATTCGTACTAGTGTGACTGTTATTTTTTGGTTTCTTGTGTGTTCGTAGGAATATGTTGATAAGCTGTGTAGGATAACTACTAACTATTAGCTCTTCTTTTACATGTTTCAATTGCTTGCACTTACCAGTCAGTTTTCTAGGTCTATCATTTAGAGATTTGACTAAGCCCGCCTTAACTGACATAGATTGAATGAGATGACTTGAAGTGTAGATACCTGTTGGTTGGTATGTGTCGTTTTTCCGTAGATGGTAGTCTCGAAACCACCATCTGTCCTTCTTCGTTTTATCGTGCTATTCAACATAGACGATTCTCGTTGTTTATTTTCTACCTTCTAAGTGAATTGTATTGGGCCTACTAGTGAGTTAATATGTGAGAGGGAATTGTCGATATGTTCCGATTTCAGTACAGTCAATGTGTCATCCACATATCGTCATCATACTTTTGGTGGAGGACTAAGGGCGTTTGTAACTGCATGTTTTCCCAACTATTTACAAAAATATCTACTAGTATTGGGTATATTGGCTAACCCATTGGTACTCCATCTGTTTGTCTGTATATTTTGTTGTGAAGCGTGAAGACTGTGGTGGTCAGGCATAAGTGTACGTCCAATATGATCTCAGTGATTGATATGTGAGTTCTGTGAGTTAGTTGTGAGTCAATATTTAGTTGATTTCTGAGTGTCTCTAGTACCATATTGATTGGTATTTTAGTATACAGTATACAGTATAGTATACATTGAAGGTAACCGTTTTTCATGCTATTGTATGTTTAGGTCATTGATTGTTAGTTTTAAATTGTAAGAGTTTGCTAGTGTGATATTGAAGAGTTCGTGGTAGAACATAATATCGATGATAATTACCTTGCTAGTTCATATGTTGGGATATTTCTGAAGTTAGCTATGGATTTACTGGGATAATCTGGTTTCTGAACCTTGATAGTGCTATAAATTCTGTTAGGATTATTAATTTTAGGCATTAGATTGAATCATTTAGACTGATCTAGAGATGGCGTTATTCGAGGGTATTAGATCAGTAGATATGTGGTGGATAAACGAGTGTAAGGAATGTAATTGATTTTGATTAACAGGTGAGGTTACTGTTATAATGTATAGTAAGATTCACAAAATCTTCATAAGAAGCTGTTAAATTATGCCTGAAGCCTGTTAAAACCAGTGGTTTTTTTCACTGAAGTTTCGAGAGAAAGCATGTGAATCATCGTGTAAATGTGAGATTAGTTTAAACCACGAAAAACTGATAGGATTGGAATCTTAAAAGGTGTGAAAATGATCAGGACCATTTTAAATATAAATTATTGTATTTTGTTTATATTTATTATCTTAGCGACTTTTCCATTTGTCACGAAACTGAGTGATCATCAAGAAGTGGAATCTTAAGGTTACCGTTCATGTGTACGCATATGTGTATGCATTGAGTTAAGTTGTTTTGAGATAATGATGTGCAAGTGTATTGATTCCACTTACCTTAGTGTTTTTCCAACGTATGGTATGTGTCATGTAACGATTATCACTTTTTTGTTTGTATTACTTTCAGACAGTTGTTTTGTGCACTCCCTGGTCAAAATGCTTCAGATGAAGAAATTAGAAAAAGTAAGACGGTTGGCATCTAAACATTTTTAAATGGTTGGCATATATATATATATATATATATATATATATATATATATATTGATGTGACTGAGTTAGGGGTAGAATGTGGGTTCTAATAATAAGCGAACCAGATACTTTGGTTGGATACGAGTAATACGACTGTTCACCCCTCACACCCTATACTTCACTGGACCAGGAATATCAGAAGACAAAAGACGATATGTGACAGCATAACAACAACTTTATTAGACAGATACATTTTATTATTATTGTTTGTCCCCTGGGTTCCTATTGGAACATACGGGTTCAGAAGCACGTCTCCATTTCACTCTTTTCTCTGCAATCTTTTCAACCTGGCTCCACGACTGCCCGTAAGCTTTGATTTCTTCCTCACACGATCTCCTCCATGTCATCTTCGGGCGCCCAACTCGTCGTTTCCCCTTTGGATTCCACTCGAGGACATGGTGTGTGATGTTCCCAAACGGTCTTCTCAGTGTAAGTCCAGTCCAGTCCAATCCATCTCCACTTTCTTCTGTATATTTGTTGAGTGATAGGTTGTTGGTTGGTTCGCTGACTGGAGTGAGTTTCTCGTTGTTTATTGTAATTATTCTGGCCATCTATCTTATGTTCGGTGTGATTATGGAGTGAGCGTAAGCGGAAGGTGTTGATGAAGTATGTGTACAGTTGTTTGTTGGGAATGCTTTTCGTAATGCCCCGTCAAGTCTCTTGACCATCAGATAGAAGCACCGACTTGACTGAATTGATGTTAAAAATCCGGATCTATTTAGGAAACCTTCAGAAAATGAAGCCATAAATGAACCACTCCAATTGGTTGTATGACTTCGAATTTGTCCAATCAGGTTGTCATGTCAGTATATGCATAAATCATGATCCGATCATCATCTAAAACAAATTCCCTATTAGGTTGCCTTTTTTGTCGCTACCTATTATATATATATATATATATATATATATATATATATATATATATATATATATATATATATTCGCTTACGAAGCCTTGGGTCATTGGTGTATTTAGTTGAATTTCATACTAGCGGATCATAGTTTTGAATTGTTTCTCACCTACTGAGGTTGATTAATTTATTTATGTACTACTGTTAACTTTCCTTCAATAGATGTGATTCGCCACCATCTTGTCCATGAAATTCTTTGCAGTTAATGAGTTGTTTAAGCAAAGAATATATGTTCAAATTTGTTTTAAGCCGTCACCTCCACTAAATATACAAGAAAAGTAGTATCTAACACAGTATATAACGAGAGTTTCATTTATAAACAATAAAGTACCATAGAATATTGAAGCGTCAATCTATCTCAGGCGAGGATAATGAAGATGAAATCGGTGAGATGATAAATAATGTAATCATAGGGAAACTGTGCAAAATTGCCCTTCATCATAATCTGTTCAAAGATGTATTAAATCGTTTCTGAAAAACTTGTTTTTCACAATATTTTTCAGTGAGTTTAAGAAACATAAACTCTTTGATTAAGCTAGATACAATAATCTGTGGGGTGGTGTATTTCCACCATGACTAGATTTGATTGTTCTGAACTTTTAGGTTTCATGATGCGTCAAGATATAAGCTATGTCAAGTTATTTAAGATACATGCAGCCATATACACTTCACTTTATAATCGTTCACTTAACATGCTTGAAAAGACACTTCTGTCGAAATAGTTTATTTTTGACAGTACTACTTTGTAACTGATGCTTTTCAACTTTCCAAGGGTTGGATTTCTAAACTATTTGGTATAATCTCTACAGTTACTGTATGGAAAGGCGTTTTAGATCTTATAAATAAGTTTTCAACCGTATACTCATTATTATTGAAACACCCTGAAGAATGAATTTTAGAGTCTTTCAACTCTCTTTACTGATGATTGAAGAAAATATCCTATACTTTTTGTAGATTGTGCGATGAATGAATTCAGCTTTATTCTAGCCGCAGATAGATCTGCGTTAAGTCACTGATTGACTGACAAAAACAACGTAGAATCTAGTACAGAGGTGTATTGTCTCAAGTTGCCATCACTTTACAGTAGTCCACAAAGAACAGGTAGATAGAAAATGTGTCATATCAAAGTAGATAAAGTAGTGTAACAGAAAAGATATTCAAGCTTTATAAGATGTTAAGAAGTGAATATATCTGCTTCACTGTGACCAGTTTTCGCCCATGTCACCAAGAGTCGTCAACCACTAATTCCTATTATCCCGGGGACCGACTCGTATCAACAATGAGAGACTTCAAGGACTGATGATAAATCTTGGTTGACCACCTTGAATGCTCTTCTAACCTAAATCAACCGAAGCGCGGCAAACTCACCTTCAATAGATATTCGAATATCTCGCCAGTCGATGCCACAGATGATGCACGCTTGCAAATGCCAAACGACCTTTCTGTATCCGAGCTGAAATTTCGTCACCAACCAACCCATTCTGCAGGCTGATGCAACTCCCTAAGCGAATTGGTTGATACACTCCACCATTTCACTCCCTATCACTGGAAGTACTTGGAGCAGACTTGTCATGGAGCATCATCTTATATTCGACAGGCGCCAGCGAAACGTAAGCCAACCAAACACACTCAGATTTCTGCTCAACGTGTTCAGAAGGCCCTGGATTGCGTCAGCGTCTTTACCTAGAAGAACCATATCATCTGCATGCTCCAAGTTAACGAAATGACCTCCAGGGAGTAGGTCAGTCCCTGTGAAGTCAGACGTATTATTCGTACGTCTATAACGAAATATGCATGAATAAGGCCAACTATCTTCCTTATATCTTTCTTAAAATCCAGAATTCCTGAAATGTGATAATGTAAAGTGAATCATAGGTTGGATTTAACCAGGTGTATGAGTACATTATTAGCAGTCATAATAATAATAATTACTTTTCCTTTGGATTCCTAGTGGAACATAGGGCTTCAGTAGCACGCCTCCATTCCACTCTGTTCTCTGTACTTTTTTCAACCTTGCGCCACGACTGCCCATAAGCTTTGATTTCCTCCTCATACGATCTCCTCCATGTCACCCTTGCCTCGGACGCCCAACTCGTCGTTTCCCATCTGGGTTCCACTTGAGGATATGGCCTAGCCCAGCGCGTGATGTTCCCAAATGGTCTTCTCAGTGTATGTCCAATCGAATCCATCTCCATTTTCTTCTGCATATTTGTTGAGCGATATGTCCTTGTTTTTTTTTTCTCCAGAATTCCTTATTGCTTATGCTTTCTGGCCATCTTAGCTTCAGTAATGAGCGTAGGCAGTTGTTGATGAATATTATCTGTAGTTTGTTCGAAATGCCTTTCGTAACGCGCCAAGTCTCTGAACCATATAGAAGCACTGACTTGACGGGATTGGTGTTGAAAATGCGGATGTTGTTCTTTATGCTGAGTGCAGTAGATCTCTACGGTGATTTCAGATTAATGAAAGCCTGTCTTGATATATTTCCGGTCCTCTTTTTGGCATCATTGTCTGTGCCGCCTGTAGTTGAAATGGTGCTGCCACGCCTAGGTAGGTGGAAGAGACTACTTCCTTCAGGTTTCTCCCGTTGATGGTGATTGGTGCTTCTTGTTGTTATTGCTGTTATTATTATTATTGGTTGGGTATCCTAATCATCTCTGTCATCTCTACGTTCACATGAAGGAAGTCCCGTCTTCACTGTCTCCCCTCGCCTCGTCTCTTCTCCCAACTTGTTAGTTTTCGCCTGTAGATTTTCGAGTTTGTGTGACAAGATATGAGACATGAATTAACATGGGCAAAATCCAAATAATCTAGAGTCTTTTTATCGGTGCGGCCACCCTGTGTATGCCCATCTCCTCGCTCCTCACAGTTTGTTGCATGATCCAGTCGACCACAATCAGGAAGATGATTGGTGAAAGTAGGTGGCATCCCTGTCTTACTCCTTCCTATCTGTCTTCACTTCAAAGGCGGCATCACTGAGCTTTCCATTGGGAATCGCTTGACATGTAGCATATAGCTGATAAAGGTTTGTGGCACTAAAAGCGTAGTGTTGAAGCAGTTTCCAAATTACTTCTCGGTCGAGGATGTCGAAGGCCTTTTCAAAGTGGATGAAGTTAAGGTAGAGAGTTAAGTTGACTGGCATTCTATGCTCTGTTCAATGATGATGCGTATAGTAGCGTTTCAGTTTGATCCGGACATGGTTTGTTGTTCCTGAAGCCAGCGTGTTCGGTCGTAATTTTGAGTCCAGCGCATCCTTTAGTCTCTCCAGGATGATGCGGTATAATATTTTGCTGGCTTGTAGTGGACAGCAGCATGATTCCTCACCAGTTCTTGCAAAGGCTTAGGTCTCCTTTGTTTGGGAGTTTGATAAGGTAGCCCTTCTTCCAGTCAATCAGGAAGTATCTTTCCTTCCTTCCTTCCTTCCTTCCAAACCTTCTGCAGTAGTGGTGTGAGCATGTCCGGTGTTGTCTCTGCGTTTGTTTTCAGTGCTGCTGACGGTGTTTCATCTGATCCTGCTGCTTTCCTGAATTTCAGCAGTTTTATGACACTCAGGACTTCTGCTTTTGTCGAAAGGTAGATGTTCACTGGTAGTTCAATGATTGCTGATGGTATTTCTGAACGAGATGCAAGTGGTAGTCGATTGAAGAGTTTTTTTAAAAGTGGTAACCCCATTGTTTCCTCTTTGGTAACTAAGTTTCCTTCACTATCTTTTGTTGGTTTCGTCTGTATTGAAGCAGTCATAATACTATTTGTTATCACAAACTGGTCAATCCAATCACTAGTAAAGTGAATTATTATTATTATCGAATATATCCACAAAACCTATTTGGTTTATGTATTTTTTTTCAATTGAAAATATCTGAAAGCAAGTATGTTTAATATATTTCATTACAACTAAAATTTAGTATAATTGTGAGTTGTTAGATATATTAGTCGACTTATATGTATACATTACTGTCAATTATTTATTCAAATTAACAGGAATAGAAGATGCCAGATCATCGACATTATTTGGTCGTCCTATCTTTAATGTTGCACGTACACTTTTGTCACCCAAATATACAGATTTTATTAACAGATCATTAGCACTTCTTTTATGGCCTGCATTATTTGCAAATATACCAGCAAAAGTGTTTATGGAAAATGCAAAACATCATTGGCAGGAAGCTCTGTAAGTTTTATTAAATTATTACTACTACTACTTATTTTATCCAGTTTGTTTTACCTTGTTGTTTTAATGCTTCAGGACTAGTCTACAACTAGTCATAGTTTAATGAAAAAGGAATGTGTTGATCCACTTCATTTAGTTGCAGAGTTACATCAACCTACTGAACGCTACTAGGACGAAACATCTGTCCAGTATTTCCAGGTTTCCAATGTTCCTCTAACGGATATCAGTTCATGATGTGAATACCAACTTGAAGAAGAAAATCTTTAAATCCCCCAAACCCCCAAATTCAAATGAACTAGTGGTCATTGGTAACTTCCTTCAAGAGGTGATTCTTGTAGTTTCAATGAGAGTGAGTACCGGTCGCGCTATATCATGAGCTAACAGAAGTTGGAGATATGAACCATTGAATTCCGATCCAATGGCTCAATGGTAACGTGCTGACCATGGAACCTAAAGGTTGCAGGTTGTTTACTGATGTCATCTCAGCTAGGATACAGAAGACCTGTTTTTCATTTGTCATAGATATATCATCTCTAGCGCTAGCTAATTCGATCCAATAACCAACTAAAAGATGCATGTACTGTTAACTCGCCATGTCTTGTTGAATTTTTAGTCCATATCCATTTCCAATAAACTACAGACATTCATCAACAACTGCTTACGCTCGCTACTGAAGATCAGAATGCCAGAAAGAATAAGCAACAAGGAGCTCTGGGAACGAACCAACCAAGAACCTATCACCCAACAAATATGCAGGAAGAAGTGGAGATGGATTGGACGGGGCATGCACTGAGAAGGCCGACTGAGGACATCACGCGTCAGGCCCTCGAGTGGAATCCCCATGGGAAGCGACGAGTTGGACGTCCAAGGGTGACATGGAGGAGGTCGTGCGAGGAGGAAATGAGAGCTTGTGGGCTGTCGTGGAACCAGGTTCGAAAGATCTCAGAGAACAGAGGTCACTGGAGACGTGCTACTGAATCCCTATGTTCCACTAGGAACCCAAGGGATTAATAATAATAATAATAATAGTAATAATCTTCATTACACGTTAATACTTTATTACTTCTAATTTTGACTGTTCCCTGACAAATATGGACAATGTAGCGATTCAAACTTCTACTTATTCAAATGTACTAAAAATACTAGGATAGTTTTGTAATATATTTACTTAGTTGCACCACTGATTTCCCTTTGAGAGTCATTCTATACCTTTTATGTAAATTATTGATTAGATCCTTAAATTAACTATATGAGATTATATTTACTATTTAAAAAAGTGGAACATTTTCTGCGAATTTTATGAGTCTCATGTAATATTTAACTATCGCCCTGTGATTGGGATAATCAATAATCAGCTTTTAAACTCTATTACTATATCCTTTCTGTTGAATTTCAATTTTCAGTAAGAAAAGTACATACTATTGTAATGCGAAAATTCACTTTCTGAAAAGGTTGACTGTCACTACCTTTACCTTACTCTTAGTGTAGTTGAATTTGAATGTGACTATGAGCGTTGATCAGCATTGCTAACTTATGGTGGAAATATGCTTCGTTTAAATAATTTGGATAAGAATCGTAGAATGTTGTTCTTAAGATTTCCCATTTTATTTAGTTGCATGATGTTTACATTTCTTAGCTTAAACTCCTTTGAACTGTGAGTGAAAATGATTGAAACTAATCGACTGTGGTTTACTGGATAACACTAGCTTTTGAAGCGAAGAGTGCTGGGTTCGAACCTCAGTGGGGACAACATTGATTGAAGTGACTGACAGAAAAGTACGAGATGCAACAAACACTGCTAATGCGGTGAGACACTTGGATTGGATACGAACAGCAACTTTTCTCTATCACAACCTCTTATTTCACTGTTTCTTAAAACTCATGTTGAGTAGCAAACGTCACTATCTGACTTCATTTTTGTGTCAAGGATCACTATGTTTCGTAGTTGTGACAATATTCGATGTGAGCGATCTACTATTATGTTATCATTTGTCCCTTGGGTTCCTAGTGGAACATACGGGTTCAGAAGCACGTCTCCATTGCACTCTGTTCTCTGCGATCTTTTGAACCTGGCTCCATGACTGCCCATAAGCTCTCATTTCTTCCTCACACGATCTCCTCCATGTCATCTTCGAGCGCCCAACTCGTCGTTTCCCCTTTGGATTCCACTCGAAGGGCCTGGCGCGTGATGTCCCCAAATAGTCTTCTCAGTGTAAGTCCAGTTCAGTCCAATCCATCTCCAGTTTCTTCTGTATATTTGTTGGGTGATAGGTTCTTGGTGGGTTCGTTGCTTATTCTTTCTGGCCATCTGAGCTTCAGTAACGAGCGTAGGCTGATTGCAGTTGCCTGTAGAATTCCTCCTCCTTCTCTTCATCTGCATTATTTGTAGGTGCGTAGTGTAGCATTGTATGATTGTGACTTTCCTTCCTTTTAAGTGGAATCTTGCTGTCATGATCCTGGAGGAGATTGGTTCCCACTGCATGAGAGAGAGCCTTCGATGTTCTTGGAGACATCATGGTAGCCACTCCCTCAGTGTGCTCGTGGTTGTCGTGTCGTGTGGGTGACAATATCGGAGTAGATTACTGACTCTCCTGTCCACTTGACAGTTTGAAGAGTCCACTTTCATTCCATTCCATCTGCTTTTGCAGATTCCCAATCTGGCGCTTCTATGCCATACCTTCTCATCTCTTTCGCAATCTTAGCAGCCTTGAGCGATCTATATTATTGATAATTTGTAAAACTTTCACCAAGATTCTTTCTGGTTTTGTTATGTTTCGAAAACTGCTATATGGTGAAGCCGCTAACAATAGACGGATATCGAGTGTCAGCCGCCGACATTCAAGAAATTCTCGGTTGATTCCCGACCCGACTAATTGATGGAGAAGACACGATAGACGTGTAGACACGTGTATTGGGGTCGAAGGGCTGAATGCCAAAAAACAGGAAAATATATCGATTGATTGTACCAGTTATATAGTTTCTTTGATAATGTAATACGATTGCAAAGTAATTTATATAAACTATGATCAAGATTTGATCGTATATTATGGTAAATATTGGGCGCTGAGTAAAAGGTTGGCGTTAGGTGTAGATTGTATTTGTGTAAGTCACAACGGGTTTAGAATCAAATAATTCCAACGTTTCGCACGGAAGTCTGGTTCGAGCTTCTTCAGGGAAATAATGAAGTTCGGACCAGACTTCCGTGCGAAACGTTGGAATTATTTGATTTCAAACCCTCTGTGACTTACACAAATACAATCTACATCTAACGTCAAATACATTTAATATTTACAGATAGTTCACTGTTTAAAATAATAACTATTCATTGGCTGATTCACCGTCTGTCTGTCTGTCTAACTTTAGACGTAATAGCATAAACTACGCTTTGATTGGTCCCTCTCTAGACCAGTCATTTCTCTCTATCGCCATATCAGATCGTCTGATAAACATATTCCATTATAGTATTGTTATACTGTTCTTATCCAATAGTAGTTTCTTAATTCAGGATCTTGGAATTCGAGTAGTTATGGCGTTTGAACTTTTGAGCGCAGGGCTACTTCATTCATCTGGTTCTATGTGTAATTGATGGCTAATCTTCCAACGTAGACTGACGAAAAAATTTATGATGAATCACATCCGATAACCTTCTATTTCAATGTTTAGACACTAACAGTTGTGTTGATTGTAGTTTGTGATTAACCTGTTCTGCTTTATGCAGTAGACTAGCATTCCAAGACATACGCTCTATATGATGCTACCAACAAGATAGAAGCTATGGCTTACTGGTTTACGCAGGTGACTTTCAACCAAGTGAGTCACAGGTTCGAACATTCATTCATTGTATACTGTATGAATATGCGCAAAGTTGTTGAGTACATTCTCAATTTCATTTTTATACTATATTTTTGTGAACCACAAGTGTGAAAAATATATGACCTTCATCAACTGATGGTACTTCAAGTAGACAATGATTAGGCATACATCCGAGTCAACTTGGTGGACGGAAGGTTTTTGAACATATCAACTAACCTACTTCTATTGTCTAACATTCTGTCCGACTTTTACTTTACCAATATGGTGGTACCACGAAAGTATCGACTGGTCGAATATCAAAAGCCTTCTCATATCCTGCACCTCTAATGACTATGTTTCATAGTCAAAGCGCAGAAAAGTACAGTTATTCTTTATTCAGCTACCGCACATGTCGACGGATAGCGAAACCAATCGAGCCTAGTGTATCTATATGCTTACGGTGAATGCATAGACTCCTTCCTAGGCTAAAATAAAGTTACTTACTATGCAGCGTCCATCAGATGCATTCCTCCATTCAATTAAAACGTGTAGAAATTCGATATTCACAGATCCAGTTATACAACACTTTTCACAAAGTACTCATGGTTTCTCGCATAACTTGTGTGTGTCAACGCCTAGTGAGAGAGCAGTCAACAGGTCGGCTTTGTATATCATTCAGTAGTCGACCAATGCTCAGTCCGAAACGAAACGATAGCCTACCTAATCCTAGCTCTTCATCTTCCATATATCAGCTTAACTGTCCATGTGGAACTAGTTACACAGGACGTTCGATTAAGCAGATGCATCTTCCGATACGAGAGCATTGGCCAGATTGGTTTGGAAAGGGTGCAGTGAAGGTGGTGAAAAGTTCAGTTCTAGCCCATCTAGTCGACACAGGGCATCACATAGATGCTAGCTAATAAAGCTTTCAATGTCATTCATCGCGTATGTAGCTCGCCAACGCACGCTCAACATAGTGGAGGCTGTTGCAATAAGATTGATAAAGCCTGAATTCTGCATTCAGAAACAACATGTCCAAGCGATACTTCTCCCTTGGCCTTCAGCTAACTAAAGGCAATTCCTGCAATCTTATTCGCTATGTTTTTCTTCACCATCATATCATTCTTCTGTATATTTATCATCCCAATACTGACTAACTTAAAAAAGATAAGTCGGTTTCCTTACAATCCCTAGATCTCACTCCATTTTGAAAATGTACCTGGTCATAACTTGGCTTGTTTTTACGCTGTACAAATGCATTTTATAATTGTAGAACCTGATTAGAGCTTATTGAAAAGGATATTCTTCGTTCATATTGTTGCTTTTTATAACTTGTATCTGCCAATCACCCTAAGTGTTTAACTGGCACTTTGTAAACATTGAAAAGGTCTTGGATAACGTCGACCGAGAATTAATTTGGAAACTGCTTCAACACTACGCTTTTAGTGCCACAAACCTTTATCAGCTATATGCTACATGCCAAGCGATTCCCAATGGACAGCTCAGTGATGCCGCCTTTGAAGTGAAGACAGATAGGAAGGAGTAAGAGAGGGATGCCACCTACTTTCACCAATCATCTTCCTGATTGTGGTCGACTGGATCATACAACAAACTGTGAGGAGCGAGGAGATGGGCATACGCGGGCTGGCTGCACCGATGAAAAGACTCTAGATTATTTGGATTTTGCCCATGATAATGCATGTCTCATATCTTGTCACACAAACTCGAAAATCTACAGGCGAAAACTAACAAGTTGGGAGAAGAGACGAGGCGAGGGGAGACAGTGAAGACGGGACTTCCTTCATGTGAACGTAGAGATGACAGAGATGATGAAGACAGCCAACCAATAATAGTAATAATGATAATAATAACAGCAAGCACCAATCACCATAAATGGGAGAAACCTGAAGGAAGTAGTCTCTTTCACCTACCCCGACACTCGCCATAGGCAGCATGGTCTGTGGCAATGGCACAACTGAAGATGTCAATGTGGCCAGAATCGGAAAGATAGCAACACAGCCCCTCATTCAGTAATCTGAAATCACTCTGCAGATACACTCCACTCCACTAACCATAAAGCATGAACAACATCCACTTTTTCAACGCTAATCTCACTCAAGTCAGTGCTTCCATCTCATGGTTCACACACTTCGCAGCGCATTACCAAAACCATTTCCAACAAACAACTGCACACAGACTTTATCAACACCAGTCGCCTTTGCTCACTCCATACTCACACTGAACATAAGATAGTTGGCCAGAATAAATACAATAAGCAACGAGGAACTCACTCTGGCCAGCTAGCCAGCCAACGAACCAACCAGCAACCTTTCGAGTAGCAACTATGCAAAAATAAGTGAAGATGGATTGGACATAAACTGAGAAGACCGTTTCGGTACAGGTGCAGGCTAAGTCCTCGAGTGGAACTCAGATGGGAAACGGCAAGTTCGGTGTCCGAGGCCAGGGTGATATAGGGTAGATCGTCTGAGGAAGAAATGAAAGCTTATGGGCAGTTGTGGAGCCATGTTGAAAATACTGCGGACAATAGATTGAAGTGGTAATGTGTTACTGAAGCTGCATGTTCCACTAGGAACCCACAGGACAAACGGTGATAATAATCATCATGATTTCATGGTATGATTCATGAGAATATAACATCGTTTGATTAATCAATAAAGCTTTGATTCATTGGACATTTCTTTCATCCCACTCCTCTATTGTTCAGCAGTGAGCACCTACGAGGCGGTAATAACTGAGCCCAGGATTATCGAGTCCTAAGTTATCCTCCAGAAGTAGACTTTGCGGTAATTTTAAATACTCGACAGTGTATCTTCTTCTTCTTCTTTTTTAAAAATTGATACCAAATTGTTATTAGTATTTCGTTGTTGATAATAATTTTTATCTCCTCTCATTTTTTAACAGTGAATATTCATTAGCTAATGCTCCTGAACCAAAGGATAAAGATGTTGGAAATGCAGAAAATGTTCAAAATGTTACAGATAATAATACTCATATTCCTAGGAAAAGTAGACAGAAAAGACGACGACGTGATTATCCGATTAAAATCCCATATAAAAGGTAGGTTATGCTGAAAAGACGATACACTAACATAAAAATAATTCTTATATGTACAAATTGTTTTCTATTTTTAGATGAATTTTTTTTGTGTAGGAATCAGTTGGGTCTCATTCTTACTCAAGTTGTCTTAGCAAGATTTATTAATTAGTGTTTCTGTTATATATTCTAAGAGAAAGTAATAAGCATCCTTGATTAATAGGTAACTTCGTTAGTAAGATCCACTGACTTCAACCTAGACGATATAAACAAGAAGACTGGAATAAATGGGAGAATTTATTCCCTCAATGAAGACTAGTCAATGAACCCATAAAACATGTGTGTAAATGCGTATGAATGACATATGACCTTGTCCGAAATTTGAAAATGAGAGCAAAAGTGAACTACTAACCATGTCGTAAAAAAATGGCGCAAAAACGACAATTTGAAAATTTGAAAAGGATAACGAGTGATATGATCATGATACATTTAGCTTTCACATGTATCCTTTTGTATGAACTAGTCGTCTCAGTTCCCTAGCTGTATGTTTTTTAATTGTTCACACTTAAGCAATTCATGAAATAATCAATCAAGTCTTACCATTTCAGTTCGGATAGTAGTTTTATAGAAAATGAAGAAACTTGATTGGATATTTCGAGTCATTATTTTTGTGAGTATACCATCAATATGATTCTCAGTAAAAATCTGTAGTTGCGCTACTCATGCTCACATGAAATCAAAATAATAATGATAATCATTACTATCATACTTGAATATTTCAAGTGAATTTTACTGTTATACATTAAGTAACTGAAACTATGCGAAACGAATGATTACAAAAGAGTCTATGAGACATAAATATTATTTTCTTCCACTTACCATTCTTTATTGTTTAAGTGACAGTCGACTCACTACAAATGTCGCCTAATTAGTGATGGATAACGGCTACGAGTGGAATGTAGGATATACGTTTCGTCCTATATGGGATTCGTCAGCTAGGTGTACCTGCATTTCAGTGGGTGATATTATTCCCACTGAGACTTGAATCCAGTACTCATCGTTTCTAACATCAGAGTGTTATCCACTAATTTACAATAGTCACTTGTTGTGCAAAGGGTATAGTTTTTATTCGTTTCGTTGTGAAATAATGTTTTAACTCATGATGTATGTACGACTTGTTGTTAGTCCCAGATTCACCTAATCTAAGTTTAAGTTGAAAGGGGTGCTAGATGGCATGCACGAGAATTGATTGTATTTTCCACGGATAATTAGTTATATAAACCAAGTCATTTTGATTTAGAATGTTTCGGAGAACAATACCAAAGGTGTGTTTCCATATTATATTAGTTTATTTGATTTATAACACACAGTGATATAGTATTATTTACTTGGTGACGATGTTTCGAGTATAAATTATTACTACTCGTAATCATATCAGTGTAATCACATCACTTTCAACAACCGACTTTTATAGTCCTACCACTTCATATTCTTTGTTTTTATTGGTAGTAAAATTCTCCATATATCTCTGGTATGGAGGTGTTGTGTCATTATTCCTATTACATGTGTTGGCTGGGTTGTTGATTTGATGAACAAAGATTCAGTGATCAATCTCTTTCGTCATGTAATTCTATTGGACTTGAGTACAGTGGCTTTGTCCCAGTCTATAGTGTGGTTGTGTGTAGATGCATGCGTTGCAATAACCGAGTTTTTTTTTTCTAGATTATTGATTTAGCTAAATCCCTATGTTCTGATAATCTAAACTGAACCTGATCGACAAGTTTGACCTATGTACTTGACCTCACAGTCATTACATGGAATTTGATGGATTAGATTATTTTGCTTAATTGGTTGTATCGGAGCTTTAAGCGAGATGACAAAGCTTATCTCTGAGTGAGTTTGTGGGTTTAAATGCCACCCAAATTCCAGCTTAGTCGAGTATCATACGTGAAGTTTTTGATTTGCCTTCCTGATAGGGTAACACAATGGGGGCTGTGAACTCGTTTCTACTTGTGTTGTCGTTATTATTCGTACTAGTGTGACTGTTATTTTTTGGTTTCTTGTGTGTTCGTAGGAATATGTTGGTAAGCTGTGTAGGATAACTACTAACTATTAGCTCTTCTTTTACATGTTTCAATTGCTTGTACTTACTAGTCAGTTTTCTGGGTCTATCATTTAGAGATTTGACTAAGCCCGCCTTAACTGACATAGATTGAATGAGATGACTTGAAGTGTAGATACCTGTTGGTTGGTATGTGTCGTTTTTCCGTAGATGGTAGTCTCGAAACCACCATCTGTCCTTCTTCGTTTTATCGTGCTATTCAACATAGACGATTCTCGTTGTTTATTTTCTACCTTCTAAGTGAATTGTATTGGGCCTACTAGTGAGTTAATATGTGAGAGGGAATTGTCGATATGTTCGGATTTCAACACAGTGAATGTGTCATCCACATATCGTCATCATACTTATGGTGGAGGACTAAGCGCGTTTGTAACTGCATGTTTTCCCAACTATTTACAAAAATATCTACTAGTATTGGGTATATTGGCTATCCCATTGGTACTCCATCTGTTTGTCTGTATATTTTGTTGTGAAGCGTGAAGACTGTGGTGGTCAGGCATAAGTGTACGTCCAATATGATCTCAGTGATTGATATGTGAGTTCTGTGAGTTAGTTGTGAGTCAATATTTAGTTGATTTCTGAGTGTCTCTAGTACCATGTTGATTGGTATTTTAGTATGCAGTATACAGTATAGTATACATTGAAGGTAACCGTTTTTCATGCTATTGTATGTTTAGGTCATTGATTGTTAGTTTTAAATTGTAAGAGTTTGCTAGTGTGATATTGAAGAGTTCGTGGTAGAACATAATATCGATGATAATTACTTTGCTAGTTCATATGTTAGGATATTTCTGAAGTTAGCTATGGATTAACTGGGATAATCTGGTTTCTGAACCTTGATAGTGCTATAAATTCTGTTAGGATTATTAATTTTAGGCATTAGATTGAATCATTTAGACTGATCTAGAGATGGCGTTATTCGAGGGTATTAGATCAGTAGATATGCGGTGGATAAACGAGTGTAAGGAATGTAATTGATTTTGATTAACAGGTGAGGTTACTGTTATATGATATGTAGTAAGCCTATGGTCACATATGATTCCGGGCGTATATCGAAAGTATACCCGCGTTTTAAATAGTTGTAATTAGGAATATGAGCGAGTGTTTGTGTTTTATGTTTCTACTATTCTTTTTATATGCTTTCTTGACTGAGGGAATAATCACCATGCAATAGGATAATAGTTGTAGGCTACTTTCTTTAATTATAGGAATATATTTGAATATGATCCCAGCATGTTTAGAAAATCGCTGTGTAAGATACAGTTTCTTCAGGAGAATATATAGATGTTTAGGAACGCGAAAATATGTAGTCAAAAAGAATACGTTGGGATTATATTAATATGTATTGCTGTAGTGATTCAATCAGATTCGGGGTTCATCTTCTTACAGGACATTTGTAACAAGTATGGTCAAGTTTCATGCAGCACATCTTCACTCACCGCTTCAGATGAAGAAATTAGAAAAAGTAAGACGGTTTGCAACTAAACGTTTTTAAATGGTTGGCATATATATATATATATATATATATATATATATATATATATATATATATATAACCGGAAGAAATCGCCTATGTGCCATATATCTTTGTTTGTTTTTTACAGATTTAGAAAAGGTTATAATTTTACAGCAGGACGATTGTTTGCTGGATCACGTGTAGATTGGGCTAAGCGTACCAATTCTTCAACGACATTTACAGTAACTGGTGAAGATGGTGAATTGGTGCCTATAACTTTGCCTGATCAAATAAAAATATTATATGCTTGTGGATTTCGACCTGAATCATTTTTAAATCTTAAAAAGTAGATTTTTAATGTCATATAAATTATGAAATTCTGTTATTTTATTTCAGTGTTTATATTTTTTAAGTTAAACAAATCATCATGAGATAACTTACCTCTGTGTTTTGGATAAATTGGAAGTTGAGTTCTACAGGAACTCTTGAAAGTCAAATGATAAATTGTATTCGCTATCGAATACGATTTTAATGCACCGGTAGCATGGCTAAGCTAGAGAAATGCATTTAGGTAGTACTTTCAAAATCCCAATGGATAGCAGCTATCAATCAGCTACAAGTGTGCTGAGACAAACATGTAATTTTGACCACCACTAATTGCAGATTTGTTACCTAACAACCTGACCCGTACGGTGGATGTAGATAGATCATACAGTACGTGTTAGGAGAGTTATCCCGTGTATAAATTGACATAAAGTTGTAGGATCCATACAGTGCACGGCTGAATCATGACAATACTAAGCGTGATTTCAGAAAAATGGCTGAAAAGTTATTATCATCAATATTTGTCTTTTGGGTTCCTAGTGGAATATACGGCTTCAATAGCACGCCTCCACTGTTCTCTGTTCTTTGCAGTATTTTCAACCTGGCGCCACGAATACCCACAAGCTTTCATTTCCTCCTCAGACGATCTCCTCCATATCACCTTGGCCTCGGACACCGAACTTGTCGTTTCCCATTTGAGTTCCACTGGAAGGTGTGACCTGTCCCAGCGCGTGATATTCCCAAATAGTCTTCTCAGTGCATGCCCAATCGAACACATCTTCATATTAGATGGGTGATAGGTTGTTACGTTGGATGGCCAGAGTGAGTTCCTCGTTGCTTATTGTAATTATTCTGGCCATCTATCTGATGTTCAGTGTGAGTATGGAGAGAGCGTAGGCGGCTGGTGTTGATGAAGTCTGTGTGCAGTTGTTTGTTGGAAATGGTTTTTGTAATGCGCTGCGAAGTGTGTGAACCATGAGATAGAAGCACTGACTTGAGTGAGATTAGTGTTGAAAATGCGGATGTTGTTCATGCTTTATGGTTAGTGGAGTGGAGTGTATCTGCAGAGTGATTTCAGATTACTGAATGAGGGGCTGTGTTGCTATCTTTGCTCACAAATTGTTGTGTGATCCAGTCGACCACAATCAGGAAGATGATTGATGAAAGTAGGTGGCATCCCTCTCTTACTCCTTCCTATCTGTCTTCACTTCAAAGGCGGCATCACTGAGCTTTCCATTGGGAATCGCTTGGCATGTAGCATATAGCTGATAAAGGTTTGTGGCACTAAAAGCGTAGTGTTGAAGCAGTTTCCAAATTAATTCTCGGTCGACGTTATCCAAGACCTTTTCAATGTTTACAAAGTGCCACTTAAACATTTAGGGTGATTGGCAGATACAAGTTATAAAAAGCAACAATATGAACGAAGAATATCCTTTTCAATAAGCTCTTATCAGGTTCTACAATTATAAAATGCATTTGTACAGAGTAAAAACAAGCCAAGTTATGACCAGGTACATTTTCAAAATGGAGTGAGATCTAGGGATTGTAAGGAAACCGACTTATCTTTTTTAAGTTAGTCAGTATTGGGATGATAAATATACAGAAGAATGATATGATGGTGAAGAAAAACATAGCGAATAAGATTGCAGGAATTGCCTTTAGTTAGCTGAAGGCCAAGGGAGAAGTATCGCTTGGACATGTTGTTTCTGAATGCAGAATTCAGGCTTTATCAATCTTATTGCAACAGCCTCCACTATGTTGAGCGTGCGTTGGCGAGCTACATAAGCGATGAATGACATTGAAAGCTTTATTAACTAGCATCTATGTGATGCCCTGTGTCGACTAGATGGGCTAGAACTGAACTTTTCACCACTTTCACTGCATCCTTTCCAAACCAATCTGGTAAATGCTCACGTATCCGAAGATGCACCTGCTTAATCGTACGTCCTATGTAACTAGTTCCACATGGACAGTTAAGCTGATATATGGAAGATGAAGAGCTAGGATTAGGTAGGCTATCGTTTCGTTTCGGACTGAGCATTGGTCGACTACTGAATGATATACAAAGCCGACCTGTTGACTGTTCTCTCACTAGGCGTTGACACACACAAGTTATGCGAGAAACCAAGAGTACTTTGTGAAAAGTGTTGTTAACTGGATCTGTGAATATCGAATTTCTACACGTTTTAATTGAATGGAGGAATGCATCTGATGGACGTTGCGTAGTAAGTAACTTTATTTTAGCCTAGGAAGGAGTCTATGCATTCACCGTAAGCATATAGATACACTAGGCTCGATTGGTTTCGCTATCCGTCGACATGTGCGGTAGCTGAATAAAGAATAACTGTACTTTTCTGCGCTTTGACTATGAAACATAGTCATTAGAGGTGCAGGATATGAGAAGGCTTTTGATATTCGACCAGTCGATACTTTCGTGGTACCACCATATTGGCAAATTAAAAGTCGGACAGAATGTTAGACAATGGAAGTAGGTTAGTTGATATGTTCAAAAACCTTCCATCCACCAAGTTGACTCGGATGTATGCCTAATCATTGTCCACTTGAAGTACCATCAGTTCACGAAATGGCTGACAGATCTGAGCTCTATGGACAAATGGAGACACTTTGTTTGAGATTGACTTGACAGTCGAATTGTAGTCCTCCCGAGTTACCATTTAGAGTCGGTTTCAGTGATAGGAATAATCTTCAGCTTTATTTCTCATATTGAATTCCCTAATTATTTATTCTCTGTTTACGAATTTCTACCACTTCTGATTACTAACTTTTTCCTTCATCCCTCTGTCATTTTGATGCCTTCTATTGTGATATGCAAGGGAAAGCGGTAATTTTTAGGTTTCGTCCTTATATTGACTGAATCACTGTTACTGTAGAGTAAATATCAGCAGTATAAATGTTGACTTACTGGATTTATTTTACTAAAACAACTTGATAATATTCTTGTTCAGTTTATTGATTTTAGAAAGTATGTATAGCGATAGTTTGTAATTATATCCTTCAATCTTATTGTGGATGAATAAAGCTGAAAGTTTTAAAAGGATATGCTAAATGAACACTATCCATGAGTACTATTATAAGAGCTCAGGTAATATCGAGGCATCCGCACACTATCCCATATGCTAATAGTGACCGATCAATCCGGTCCAATCAACGACGGTATGATTAGAAAACAGTTATATACTAAGAACTATACCCGTCGCGTAAAAAGTGGCTCGGTGATGTAGCGGGTAGCGCCCTGGCGTTTGAAGCGATCGCTCCAGAGTCTGAATCCCGGTGGGAACAACATCACTCACTGAGTACATTCAGCCGACGAGTCCCAAATAGGACGAAATGCGCATCCTGGATTCCGCTGCTAGCCACTATCCATCATTACTAGAAACGTAGTATTTATAATTAGGAATATGCTTTCGTAAATGTGAAAAATAGCTACAAACCATTTCTCCCTTAGGTATTTGAAGATTATCTTCTGTTTACGGTCACCTCTATAATAGTAGTTGACATCATCTTTTTTTCTTGTATATCTTTTGAATTCAGGACAGCATTTTTTAGTTTCATTTCCTATTTTTTTTCCAAAGTTCTTACGTTGTGCTTTGAAAATCTCTGATTACCTTATTATGATTTCAATCGAACTGTTTATTGATACGTATGAAATTAAAGTTTAATTGTTACATATGTGTTGAATACACTGTTAAACTGTCTGAAATGAAATCATGATTGCTTTTATGTTATTATCCTATACTCATGCTGGGAGATTCATTGAAGTTTCTTTACAGGACCTATAAAAGTAGGTTGTCCCATCAACTGCTGCTTTTTAGCCTCTAGTGATCGATTTCAGCATTCTATAGTTGTTAGGAATAACAGCCTGTCGCTTCACTTCATCATGCTATTATCATTTTAATATCTCGCGTAAGCTTACAGGGAACTGTTTGTTAGTCCCGATTTTCTATGCTTCAACTATATCAAGCTTATTGCAGATAAGCTGTATAGACAAGTTTCATTAATTTTCTTCGCTGATGATTTCCGTACGTCTTGATATCCCACCATACCGAAGTATAGTTGTTACCTCCTACTTCTGCTAAAACTTGCTTGTTATAATAGTCAAAATGAGGACGGTAACTAAGCGAGTAATATAACAGCGAAAGGAATTGAGTAGTTCTCGAATGGTGACTTCGAAATCCAGTAGAACAACGGGGATGATATACTAGAACGTCTCGAACAACAACTTTGTACACATAAAGAGGTCAACTTATTGAAAGGCTACTCAACTGAACCAACGATGAACATGAATGAGATTGGTATCGGGAACCGCTGGACATGATACACAGCTATTTGGTGCTCCTGTATTTCGATAGGAAGTCAAGGTCGCATTCACTGGGTAGTGAATCCAGAGTTACTATATGACAGTGGTGATTGCCATTCTCACTCTTATATGACCCGGTTTATTACAAAAAAACAGCGACATGAGTTTCCGCAATGGAAAGTCATCCTGAAAAGTAAGTCTGAATTAACTGTGACGCAAAAATTTGTCTCTCCACGCTTCCAACGTGATTTGAGAAGACAACAGCTTAAATGCAGACCGACAGTGAGTCTCTGCAGTAAATGTGATCTATGAAAGCCGAAAAGATGATGACAATTTAGCAGATAGAATAGATAGGTTCAAGAATTCGTTTCCTTATAGCAGACACTATGCACACCCTAAGTTCTAATGACTCTTTACCTACAACACTATTACCAATATCACAAGCTATCGCAGATTCTGTCTCGATATCTGCTGCCCTACTCAAACAATTTACATGAGATTTGACAGACTTTCCTCTCCTCATCTCAAGAGGCTTCGGAGAGAAAAGGAAAGGTATAAAGCGAGAGATCACTCTGGCGTTAAAAGGCTTAACTGCCTAATTAAGTCTGAAATACAACGTTTGAATACTATATACAACAAGAAGTTCTTATCATGTAAGAACTCTTCCAATATATGGAAATTATTTAAAGGGCTTACTGGTAAAAAAAC